AAACTACTTCCTGCCAGACATGTCTATTACTAAAATGAATGTGGCACAGTCTCTGCCATGCAAGGAGACCTCAAAACAATGGGCAAGCAGAATATTCATGCCATAATGCAAATAAAGACAACAATAAAAATTCATCCAAAGTGTGACAGAATCCAGATTAGTCGTCTGTTAAAATTCTCTAGGGATTATGCCTGATTTCATTAGGCTAATGTATGTGCACAGCAAATGCTGTAAGAGCAGAGAGAGAAGATTCTAGGTAAAGTAAACAATAGGAACAAATCCCAGGGATAAGAAAACCACCATTGTCATCTCAAGGCCTCTGATGGAGGCACTGCTGTCGCCACCACTGTGATCTCATTAGCTTAGATTGACCAGATTTTCTGGAAATTTGTGTCCAAATCAATGCACATCAACATTTATTTACTTGGAAACAGCAAAGGATATTTTGTAGTAACAACAAAATATCTAATATGGCTGGTCTGGGGAATAGTATCTGGCCATTGTTCTTAATTTTGAGACAAGGTCTCCAGTAGATGAAGATGAAGCTGATCCTCCTTTCTCCACTTTCAAACTCTAGGATTTCAGGTGTACATGTCTATATCCATCTCACTCTGAAAGCCCTTCAACATATGCAAGGACACAGGGATGGAATTTAACTGATTTTTTTACTACATTAGTATATAAATTTACTTAGTCTTGCCAAACTATTCTAGAAATGACAGGTTACATGGCATGCAAATTATAAAGCTACTTTTAAAACCCTAGTTGTAGCAGATTGAATGTGAAAAATCAATCACTCAACAACTCCCTGGTTGACTTTTGGGCTTCTTTAATTAAGGAGCGCTGGCTGGAATCCTAACAGCTCACATATGTAGAGGCTCTCAGCACAGTGATCACAAGGGGTGATAACAGAGGAGGGCAGTCTCACATTCACAGAACCTTCACAGAAAGATTAATTGAGCCCTTGACATGCCAAGGACAACCCTGGGGATATGACACGTGTTGCCTCTTAAGTCTAAAGTGACAGTTCACTCAAGTGTTTCATCTAATAGCGCAATTTTAGAGCATTTAGAGTTGCTTTCTTTAGTGCTATATTGAAATAACCCCAGTATACTATCTCCAGAGGCCTTTTAAAATCCAAGTATCTATTCAAAGATCTTTTTAGGTAAGATCTCAGGTGCCTCAAACTACAAGAATATTTTACAATTTTCTTTCAAGACAGGGTTTCTCCATGAAACAGTTCTGGCTATCCTGGAACTCACTCTGCAGACCAGACTGGTCTTGAATTCACAGAGATCCACCTGCCTCACCACCACCAGGCCCAGCTATATTTTAAAACAAAAACTAGTAAAATAGGAAATGTTAACAATCCTTAATTTCATATCAATTCCCCAAATAAAGACAGACTTTACCAAGCCCACCTACTGGGATGGAATGATACATACACACATCTGCTGAATTTCTAGAAAACTGTTTTTAGAAGAGACCAGCTCTGTCTAGGTTCATGTAGACAGGATAAAACCCAGTATCTTCCTCATCTTTGCCAATTGACAATAAACAACTTCTCTCAATTCAATAGAACCAATGTCAATGTAACATAATTTCTCATGCGGCAATGACATAATAATTAAATGATTTTGAACTTTAGGTCCTCTTCTTTTCTTGACTTTATGAATGGTAATAATTTTATTTAGACTACAGCTAGCTCTATATATGTATTACAACACATATAATTAAGGTAAAACGAATCTGTCTTCAAGCAGAACCTGAAAGACAGGTTTGAATGAAGAATATAAATGTTGAAACTCACAGTTTTTTTAAAAAATTATTCTTTTAAATTATTTTTATTTATTCTTTTAAATTAAAAATTAAGAATATCTTTTCTTTGTTCCTAGAACTTTTGTCAGAAACTCTACTGTCTGTAGCTAATGTTAGGTCACAGACAGTAAAAGTGTAAAGCCACAGAGTTTGGGGGAAGCCAAAAGCTATCTTATGAAATCATTAAAATTCAACTTCTATTGATGAGGAATTGTAACATATAGACTATCCCTCCAGAGAAGGAAGCTCTAGCTATTTCCTCAATCTTGTCCAGGAGTTTCTTTGAAGCAATTACAAGGGTGTATTATCTGGTAAGATGGAGAGTCAAAGAAACTAACATTTTTATGTAATAGAGAAGAAAGGCTGCTTTCTTCTTTATCCAGATGCATCCCTGGAGTGGAAACAGCCATCATCATATCATCCCAATTTAAAACAAATCATCACAGGCACTACTCTGTTTTATGCTCATTGAGCACCATTCAGATCTATAATTCAGCTTACTAAAGAACTTATTGATCAAGGAGTACACCAGGGAGGAATGTCCCAATCCTGGACTGCCCTGGTTTCTCAGTCAGTCTACTTTTAGCTGTAAAGAGTCAAGTCTTTTCTGGATGAAATATTAAAATTAAGACTGAGGACCCCAGGATCTGCCCTTTCCTGTATTAGATGGGAATTAGCACACCCTAGAGGCTGACTTAAATAGTTCCACCTCCTTAGATGCAACTTTTAGAAATTACAGTATCTATCTATCTGAGACAGGGTCTCTCTACATAGCCTTGGATGTCCTAGAACTCATTATGTGTGTAGTGCCATGAACAGGACAGGGCCTGCCTCTGCCTCACAAGTGCTGGAATTACAGGAGTGTGCCACCATGCCCAGATAGAATTACACCTTTAAATTTAACCTGATGGTGGTGATATGCTGAAAAGGGCTTGATTGACTTGCTTACCTCTCACCTCCCCAGCCCTTGTATAAATCTGAATCAGCAGACATGTATTAACATGTTGTTAGTTGGAGCCCAGTGCTGTATTTGGCTGGTAGCTGTTAATAGTGTTGATAAATCCTCAATATTATGTTTAGGGAAAAGGTCCTGAAGGCCTGAGTGGTCAAGATGTGCAACTTCACAGAGGACCATACTTTTGGGGGATCACAAAGGAAATCCCGAGTTTGTATCTGCATTAATTAAATAAAATTAACCCTGGGTCAGGAGGCTGAGTTAGCAACTAGTTGATAGAAAGTAATCAGAGCATCAGAGGGCATCTGGAAAAGAGAGATGCACCCGAAGTAGTAGGGAGGGGTTTTAAGTGGTATGGCTTCTTCTCTTTTGGCAGAAGGACAGCCCTTTTGGGAGACACCAATAAAAAGAGAAGGTTAGCTAGATTACGGCACAGCAGCTGTGCTGAAGATAAAAGAACACCAGACCCTAGAATGTTAGGAGGCCTTCCAGCTATTTTGCTAGACATGACGGCAAAATCCTGTACAGCCAGTGTGGGGACATGATGAGGGCCTTGGACCAGAAGCCTACCAAGGCTCAAGGTCCTGGTGTGGACAGAAGTTTTTGTCCTGCCCTGTCCCACTGCTGATCAGTCCCAGAATAACACACAGAGGCTTATATCAATTATAAACTGTTTAGCAGATGGCTCAGGTTTCTTATTAGCTATCTCTCTCTTAATTGTTAGCCCATTTCTATTAATCTGTGTATCTGCACATGGTCTTGGCTTACTGGTCATGCCCAGACCTCTGGCTTCCTCAGCAGCTACATGGCATCTCCTCTCTTAACTCACTTTCTGTGTTCCTCTTCCCAGCCTTCTAGTCTGCTAGCCCTACCTATCTATACTTCCTGCCTGGCTACATCCTGCCTGTCTGTTGTCTGACAGCTTTATCCATCAACCAATAATAGAAGCATATATTCACAGCATACAGAAGGACATCCCCATCATCCTGGGGAACCCCAAGAGTGATGAGATGAATGTGGAGGTGCTGGACTTTGAGCACCTTAAGCTCACGCTGCAGACTGTGGCCAAGCACAAGGACCAGAGAACTTGGGCAGATTATGTTGAAGACCTTTGTATGCTTACAAGGAAGGGAATGGTATCATCCTTGAATGTTCTTTTTGAAATTTTATTTATTCATGCATTCTATCTTTGTCTGAGTGCACATCTGCACACCAGAAGAAGGCATCAGACAGTTGTGAGCTGCCATGTGGGAACTGAACTCAGGACCTTCTGAAGAACATCGAGTGCTCTTAACCACTGAGCCAGCTCTCCACCCCCATCCTTAAATATTCTTAAAGCCAAACAGCTAATTCTAACATATTGCTGGAACAGGAGTTTCTGAGTCAAATGATGAATACATTTTTACAATCATCCAGAAAACAAAAACAAAGTACTTTTTTCTGGTAGCAGGGTGTGTGAATGCAGATTATATTTAATTTAGAAAGACCTTCAAACTTGTTTCTCTGCTTTGCCCCCAACCCGTTTTCCACAGTTTATCCACAGTTTATTGGCTTCCCAGAGTATTACCCTGTGGAAAAGAAGACCAGACAGCATTCAAGTGCTGAGTGAAATCCCTTCCCATGTGTCATCACCAGTCCTCCTGCCCTGTTCACTGCAGCTCACACACACACAAGCTTTCAGTCACTATCCTGAAGAAAGCTGACTTCTCTTTCAGTGCCTCTGCATTTGGCTAGCAATTCTTTCTTCCCACATACTCATTTCACCTCCTCATCTTTTGTATCAGAGCTGCTTCTAGGCATGGTGCTTCCTCACACATCCGAAGCATAAGTTTTTACTTTCTCTATTAGATCACTCTTTTTGGTTCTGAATAGATTTGCCAACAGTCTTATCTTAGTAACTTTCCTACTCTGCAAGTAGGTGTTCACTTCAGCTTCCATTATCAGACACGTTAGAGGACCTCATGTTTTGTGGACTGTCCTTGTGTGTGTAATTGTGGAAGGACAGGGGGAAGGAAGGAGGGGAGGAAGGGAAGAAGGGAGGGATAGAAGGAGGGAGGGAAGGAGGGAGGGAGGAACCTACCAAAAGCTTTGTGCAGGAAATTCTATCCCAAAATGACAAACAACAAAACAATAAAAGAATTCACAGAAAACTAGGAAATGAACCCGGAAGAGGCTCTGGTAAGAGGAAGCTTGTATTCCAGTTTCTGCTCAGTGTAGGGAGGGTTACCTGAGTTCTTTCATATGTCTTCCAACTGTGACCCCTTGTCTACATCATCAGTACAGCAGTGTAAGGCAGGCTGCATGGATCTTCAAGGCAGATCATGTTTCCAAGGCAGAGGTTTCCAGCACTGGACCAAGCAACATAGATGACAAGATGACTTTCTGGAAGCTGCTTACTTTTGGCCATATAAAGGCAGGGGAAGAAGGCTGCTTAGGAAGGAACTGTAGCATTTTCTATGTGCCAGACTGGGCTTCATTTAAAAAACTTTACACACACAAACTTAAAATGAGCTCTGTGACGTCTATACTATCATTGTCAATAGTGAGATGGGGAAGCAGACACACCAGAGAAATGAAGTAGCTTGTCATTGTCATGCAGATGATAATGGTTACAATGATTTACAGAGCAGGACTAAACTTTAACTCCAGAGTCTGCATTTTGAGCCCTTCCTGTAAATAAGGTTAGAGAGGTAGAGACTAGAATACACCTAGCAGGGATAGAATCAGAGAGACAGGTAAGGCTTTAAAATGATTTGGGGTTGGTTTGTCTTCTAGCCTGATGATCAGGGTAGAATCCTGATCATTCAATCCTCAGAACATTAGAAGGAGGGAATACTTGCCCCCCCCCCCCCCCCCCCCAGGAACAAAAAAACATTTTTTTAGCCGGGCAGTGGTAGCACACACCTTTAATCCCAGCACTCGGGAGGCAGAGGCAGGCAGATATCTATGAGTTTGAGGCCAGCTTGGTCTACAGATCGAGTTTAAGGTAGGCTCCAAAGCAACAGAGAAACCCTGTCTTGAAAAACCAAACAAACAAACAAAAAAACAAAACAAAACAAACTAATGCCTTAGATTACATACATGAAGATAAGCTGTGACTAATGAAAAGACAAATATTAAGGGCTCTTTCCTCTCAATTTATATAATGTTTTAAAATCAAAATCAGTATCTATCAGAAGTTCAATTGTGTCATAGTCACATTCCAAAGGTGGACTTCTTGGTGTCGAGTGCTGCTTGAAAGAAGTCTGGATCTAATTTTTGTTACCCTTTATGTAGTGGTGGATGTGTCATTTTGCACTATCAACTTACATGTTGTATGGCCATAGGGATGTCATTCACCAGTGTGCCTTCCTCTACACGGGCAAAGCACCAATTTCCAACTCTGCCACTATCACCGATGTGACTTTGGGTCAGGCGTATATTCCTCCATGAAGTCTGAATCCACATCTGTAATATGAGAAAATTACTGACCACACAAGGCTGCAGTAAGACAAAATAAATCAAGTGTTTGTCATTTGTGATGAAGAGACCAGCTTCCCTTTCAGCAGCCATAACAGCCGAACACGTGCTTGCCATAAACCTGCCTTGGTCACTTAGAGGTCAGATGCCTGTCTTGTGACAAGGAACCAATCGGAAGTTAGCTGGTGGCGCTATGCTTTACGACCCTGGGTGTGCTTTACGGACAAGCGCACAGCAATGACAGTAGAGAGCATAGCAACCACCCTGGGAGGGCCTATGGGCCATAACAACCAGTTGACCAATCAACACAGGGCAAGCCCTCCAAGCCTGGAGGCACACCAATCCTGAGCCTGTGCGTACCCCTAGACACTCCATTTACACAAGCCTATAAAGATCTGTGCGCAGCGGCTTCAAACTGTCTTTGCTAGCCATCCGCCATGGTGGGTGGGTCAAAGACCTGAGCTAACATGGGGTTAGCTCATTAAATTACAATAAAGCCTCGTGCAGTTTGCAGCAAGCTCGAATCCGCCTGGTGATTGGGGTGACTGTGAACGTGGCCTGGAATCCCGGATACTTGAGTTTTCGGGGGTCTAACAGTGACATGCTTGACAAACACTTGTCTCACACATTACACTGTGTAAAATGCAACTTCCATAAGCAACATGGCCCATCACTAGATTTATTAACATACTTAAACAGATTTCCAGGCAGCTATTTATCTTAACAATGTCTGGGGACTCCCTATTCATGGTGCTTTAAGACAATTATCTTTCAGCTGGAACAATGTGAGTTGTAAATGTCTCTTTACAGTCAAACTTGAAAAGTAGTAAATGTCTTAAGTGAGAGACAGCTAAAGCCCCAAGACCATCATCTATCCACTCCCAAATGCTGGGGCACAGGCTAGAGAAAGCAATTTGAAGTTGCAAGTGCTACTGAGTAGTTTTTCTCATAACGGTTTACAGTTTGGATAGTTCCTTTTTCTTCTATGGTGAGCCTCAGTGCTTTCCATCACTCTTATCCTGAACATTGCAAACCACATTGCAAACCTCCTTTCTGTGTAACTGTTATGGTGCCTTTGCATGACTGGGCTCATTCTATCACGGGCTTTCTAGCAATGGATTAAAATTATAGCTGAAAGAATTTGGAAAATAACAGAAAGGCTTTATGAGTTTCAGGCTTAGTCCCGTGGTAAATATGTCGGTGCAGACATGGATTTTATTTGACCTCAGTTTGTTTTTGTTACTTAGCTTGGATAATGAGCTTTTGAGTTGCTTGAGAAAATACAGCTGACCCAGTTAAACTGAAATATCAGGAAAAAATAAACCTTTCAGCTTAAGCATATGTCACGCAGCATTTTGGTCATTCACCTGAATTTTCACATTTAACTATCCTTTCCCTTTTTTAAGAGCTCCATCTTGGATCGCATTTGTTGTTTGCAAATGGGGAATAAACTAGTATCTTCGTAGGATAAAGAATCTAACTTTAAATTGCCTTTGAGGTCAAAAATCCTTTAGTAAGAGATTGTCGGATCTCTGGGGAAAAGGCCCACAGCTCACTCAAACACAAGCTGCGGCTACCTTTACTGGATGATTTCTTGCAGAGTGAAGAAAGCTCATGAGATCGGCCTCTGAACACAGTCGCAATCGAGTTGAGGTCTGTAAATATTCCTTCAAATAGCAAGTAGACATATAAAACACTTCCTCCCAAGTGAGAAAGACTCACTTCCTCATCTACCGGGAAAACCGCTGCAGAGGCTCTGCACACGCGCACAAGGACTTTGAGGCCGCGCGCCGGTCCGGCCCTCTGAAAAGTCACGTGGGCGAGTCCTAGCTTAAGCCTTTGGTCTGGGTCTGTCATGTGACCGGGGTTCTCGGTTCTCGGGATGGAGGCGGAAGACGGTACGCCGCCGCTGTGGCGGCTGCAGAAGTTGCCTCCGGAGCAGGGTCCCCCGGTGAGGGGTTGCGGGCAGAGCATGGGAGGGCGGCGTTCGGACGTTTAGTCCTGGGCCCCTGGGGACAGAGTGGCGGCCCTGGGACTTCGCGCGCGACCCGGGGGTGGCTCTGGCCTGGGTGTGTGTAGGGTCTCCTTGCATCTAGAAAGCTGTGGTGGCGGAGCCCTTGGTCTATTGCATCCACGGGTGGGTCATTCATTATTTAAGGTCAGACCTCCCTAACGTGCCCTGGGAACCTTTTCCTATGTGGTCCAGAGGATGTGGTGAAACCCTGGCGGGACTGTCACCTGGAGGGCGGCAGGAACCACCTCCTAACCAGAAAATAACTGGCCATCAACTTCTTTTTATTGTGACCAAAAAAAAAAAAAAAAAAAAAAAAAAAAAAAGGGATTGCACACACCTTA